GTTCAACTGACCAAAACCTATAAAACAACAGAATATATCGATACAAGTAACTGCTGCTAGAAATGGACATTCGTTAAAAGACATTATGTATATTAAATTCTCAACTGACTTTCTTATCGACATCAGAATGTATCGGCTACTGCGACGTAATGATCTTGATACTTGGGTAATTCGTGTCAACTGACAATTAAGCATTAAAGAATATGATTTTCGATTGCTTCGTATATAATTATAATAATATATATCTCACACACTCACACACGGCCGTCTGATCCCAAACTAGGCATAGCCTGTACTATGGTAACCAGACCGCTGATAAACATACTTATATACTTTTAAATACATACATATTATAGATAAATTACACCCAGACACAGAACAAATGACCGTGCTCATCACACAATATTTGTCCTAGGTGGGAATCGAACCCACGACCTCCGGTTTAGCAGTCAGGGTCACTAACCACTAGACCAACAGGCCCGTCAAAAAAAAAACTATAAAATTGAATGAAGAAATTCCTTTTTTAATTTAAATATTAAAAAAAACGACAAAAGAATTCTTTAGTGAAGACCGCGTCTCGGCAAACGTAGTGTAGGACGCCCACAGGCCAGGTGTAGTGACGATTTGAGTAAGATCGCTGACAGGAGCTGGATGCGAGAAACCCAAAATCGATCTAAGTGGCGTGCAATGGGAGAGGCCTATGTCCAGCAGTGGACTGAGATAGGCTGATGATGATGATGATGAAATATTTTTCTTATTTTTCTTTAAATTTAAATGAGACCAAACAGGAAGTATTTCCTCCCAAATAAAAAAGTATTTTCAACCGGTATTCATAAATAAATACAAGTAAATAAATTTACAGTGTCCTGTGGCCCAATAAATACAACAGAATAAATGAATAATATAGTTCTGAGATAACAAACACAATATATCAACCGAATTGAGAACTAAAGAGGTTATTTAAAAGTTAGCTTAAAAATAATTCCTGTTTTGACGTCTTAAAGATACAACCGATTATCTTGAATTTTGTGTATATATGTTATCAAAGGTTTAGATAAGAAAATAGAGTGCTTTTCGAGAGTGATTTCTCAACTTATTGACATAATTTCTTAGTTAACCAGTCAGTATTTCTATCAAACACTAGCTAACCCGCGCAACTGCATTTACGTCTCTCAAAAGGAATTAATTTTTCCCTTTTTTGTAACATTCTTCATTATTGCTCGGTTCCTATCGGTCGTAGCATGGTGGTATATAGCCTATAGACTTCCTCTGTAAATGGGCTATTCAACACCAAAATAATTTTTAATTCGAACCATTAGTTCCTTAGATTAGCGCTCTTTACCAAACAAATAAACTCTTCAGCTGTATAACATTACCAATCAATAAAATAAGTACAATTTATATTATTAAAAATAATTATGAATGTCACTCAAAGTATCAAAACGTGTTGACCCGATGCATAACACGCTAATATCGCATGCGACTAACAATCTAATTACAACCCACGGGAATCGAACCGCGATCGGTTGACCGATACGGGCCGATTACACTCCCACCTACCGATACCGCGCGTTAGTTAAATGGGTGTAAAAGGGTCCCTTTTCAACGATAATTGTTATACTTTTTGTGGTCAAGTTTGTTTATCACTATGACTGTCCCAATTACGTTGTCTTAGTAGAGAGTTACTAGCATCGGGAATGTAGTTTCTTACTGTCCCAATATGTTCATAGTATATAGTCCGTAGTAAAATAACCAGCTTAGCACAGCAGGTTTCTGCTTGAATTGGAGCCACCCGACAAATACAAGATTAAACTGCGTGCTGTAGGTCCAAACCCCACATGGGACGACACTTTGTGTGATTCACAATTTGTTGTTCTGAGTCTGGGTGTTCTTTGTGTGTGTTTCGTGTATGTTTGTAAAGTCTCCCGCGACACAGGATATTTTCCTAATGCGGGAGTTGTCTTTTTATAAACAAATATAAACAAATATAAATATAAACAAATATATAATCAGACATGTGAGTAATTTACAAACACACAAGATTGAAATACAGAGGTTTACATGATTACGCTAGCGAAAGGTCTAAATCCAAAAAAGAAAGAAAGTCTGTGGTATTTTATACAAAGTTTGTTATTTTTTTAAGTTTTTGATGACACATATCTTTGTCTATAACCAAATCCCAGTAGTGATCAATCGCACGTGAAATCGCAGTGACTAAAACCAATTATTTCTTGATATGGTTATGATTTAAAAGTAACAATAGTTATCATCACTACAGTGGACTAATAAGATGATTTATGTATTACAAATCACAAAAATCGAGACTCTATAGAAACACTTCGATAATAGAAAAAGATGATTAGAATTCCAAAAAGTCTAAATGGTAGATTTGACGACTGGATGGCGTAGTGGTTTGTGTAACGGACTGCTATTCCAAAGGTCGCGGGTTCGATTCCCGCTCAAGTCGAACATTTGTGTGCATGAACATTTGATGTTTGATTTGGTCTGGGTGTTTCTATGTATAATATGTATGTATTTACAAAAAAAAAGTATATATGTATTTATATCAGTTGTCTAGTACCCATAGTACAAGCTCTGCTTAGTTTGGGACTTAGTAGTAGTCTTATTTTATGACGTCACAATAATAACGTCAGTCAATGCCCTCACTCCCCAAACACAAGCATAAGACAATACCCGTACTTTCCCCAGTAGACCTACAATTCATTTACGGTTATCTAAGTGAAATAAATTACTGGCCGTTAATTGATTCAGCTTTGATCGAGGGGGGAGCTGTATCTGATACGGAAGTAAAGCAGATGGAAAACCAGCAGCTGATTTGGTGAATATTAATGAGAATGAAAGAGAACATTGACTGTTTGTTTATTTACATATAAACTGTGATGACAGACGATTTTTGTTTTACAATTGATTTTGAGCTCATAATTTTTAATTATTATTTTAATTATTAATTAATTAAAATAATAACCTTACACATCCCACACAGAGCCTGTGCTATGTGACCAGACTGCTGATAAACATACATATATATTTTAAAAACACATATTATTGATAAATTACACCCAGGCACAGAGTAAATGATCGCGCTCATCACACAAATATTTGTCCTGGGTGGGAATCAAACCCACGACCAGTAGACCAACAAGCCCGTCTAATTGTTAAGTATCACAGACTTCAATGGAGCTACATCATGAATTGTAATAACATTATTCTTATTTCCTTAATTTCCAACTCTAGGTTTCCATTTTTTTCTTCAAATTGGAATGGGAGCAAAGATAAAATATACAATACTACTAAAAAAGATTTTTTTGAAAAATAATTTGACGGAGACATACAAAAAATACCACCGAAACCAGAACATTCTGTTTTTAAGTCGGTTTAAAATATAAGGAAAGTAAACAACACTGCTTTCTTTCTCTGATTTTTTTTTCAAAAACTTCAGTCGATAGGTTGTTATAGTGTTCAAATATACCCAAACCTTTGCCAAATCTAGTGAAATCAATCCTGCAATTCCTTAAGAATTCCCCGTTTTTGCAACATGTTTCATGGATGCTCGGCTCCGATTGCTCGTAGCATGATGTTGTATAGCTTAAAGCCTTCTCCAATAAGTGGGCAATCAGACACTACAAGTATTTTTTAATTCGTACCATTAGTTCAAACAAACTCTCCCACTCAATAACTTTATGTAGATTCATATTTCAGATCTGTAGGCATAGAAAGATAATTTTATTTATTACAAACACGAAATATAATGTAATATCAACCCATAGTAGGGCTTAACTAAAATTATGAACCCTATTTATAAAAGTGAAACAAGGTATCTATTTATTTATTTATTTAACATAATGCACTAGTTGTACACAGGCGGACTTAATGCCCAAGGTATTCTCTGCCAGTCGACCTTCGGGTGATGTAGAAAAATGATGGTGTAGGTGCAAGAGAAAACAGAGAATTTAACTTTTTTATACTAAATTTATTAATTTAAGATACATCTAACTTACATATATACACTATTTAGGATGCCAACAATTTGTAGATAACTTATTTCGTGTCCAAATGGACGTCCAGTTCAGCATTTACCACTGTAAGCACTGCCATAGACCCCCCTTAAGCTCAGCACTCAAGACCAGTATTCACCAGAACACTGGTAGGACCATCGCAAATGGTTTAAGTCCAAATATTCAGAGTGGATTAAGTGTTTGTATGCTTATTCTACTGTGACACAAAATCATTTATTAATGTTGTTTTAATGACTGCATATCTTCTCTTGTAGGAGATGTTATACAGTTGCCTCCAACTAACACGTTAAGATACAGTAACTATTAAGTATTGTGGCTTATAACCTAATCTTGTAGCCTACATTTCTGTACGTTGAGAATGCCGTGCGTATTGGCCATTAATTGGCGCCGCTGCCGAAACGTTCGTCTGGCGGTATCTGACAGATTGAGTTTAACACTATCTCTTCCAAGATATTCTTTCTAGAAGCGCTTGAATGAGTACATCATAAATTGCCTCCCTAACAGATCAAGACAACATGCAACTCCTAAGAAATGAGTTCTTCATTACTATCATCGAACACTCAACAATTACTTTGCTATACCGTATAAGCAGTAGACTGGTTGGGACTTCATGGTGTTACGTTTAAGATCATCATCAACAGCCTTCACCAGTCCACTGCTGGACATAGGCATCTCCTTAGAAAGGAGGTTTTGGCCTACTATACCACGCTGAGTTTGTTTCAAGGTTTCCTTCTCTCTGCAGTGCTGTTGTCCTGCTAGTTTGCTTCCTTAGTCGCCTCTTACGACACCCACGGGATGAATAGGGGTGGTGACACTCTGTATTCTTAATCCGTCACCACACGAACCACGTTTAAGATACAAAAGTAAGAACCGCACGACACTGGTAATATATACAAACATAACACTTAGATAATATATTTGACGTAGCTGACGTCTATTGTTAAATTCTTTCATCATAAGAACATGGGTTATTCATCATCTAGTATAATGTTTAACTCTAAACTAGAACTTAAAGGTAAGTCATCAATGATATCATTTCAGACACAGCTTTATCGTAGAAACATGAACAGTTTAGTAAAAGAAAACAACTATTGTATGCCATATTACCCACCTAATCACGCGGATCATAATATGCAAAACACCACTCTGTAGGTTTCTGTAATGAAGCTTAGCTATAATTATAATAGTCACCATTCAAAAGTAGAGCCCTTACACTAAAAATACTGTCTAACTGTGACAGTATAGATAGATTTATAGCTTCCCATCTATTGCTTAATTAAATAGCTCGAGACATAGCTATGATTCTGACTGCTCGAGCCATAGCTATGATTCTGACTGCTCGAGCCATAGTTTGCTCTTGCCAATCAACGTTTGTATGCAATATCACTATCAATTTTTCATTCAAAACTGTCTGGTGGATCACAATAAGTCCATCTCTATTATGTATGTGAGCTTAAATTATAATTGGCACATATGGGTTTTTTTTTAAATAGAGTAAAGCCTTCTGGAAACGTCAACGCCTTAGCATAACCTATATCTGAATCTCAAATTTCAATTTTTAAATGTTCAGTTATATCACCCATTCAATTCTTGGACCAAGGTTACGCATCGTTTCAAAGGGACTTCCTTAACAAAACCACAGACTTTTACATGTGTGGTGCCCCTAATTACATTCATATTGGTGATCGTCTTGCAGGTGCACAGCGAGCCGTAACGGACATCAGTCAAGCGGAAACACAAGCCAAAAACAACCAAAAGTTTAAAGATAGAGAATTAAAAATTGATCGTGCTGGTTTCAAGGATGTAGGCAAGATCAACGATCGATGTATGATTCGTATTAAGAAAGTATTAGAGTTTATTATTGTGTGTTTTATTAAATTGGGTAACAATGACAGTGGCTTCGCGTAAGTTCAATAGCATGGTCGAATTCGGCATCGTTAATTACTGACCGATGGTCGAATGGTTTTTTATTAGTAAAAGGTGGTTGTCGATTGTAATTTGAATTTGATGGACGGGGAATTGTAGATAGTACTGATAGTGCATTGGCGTGGAACTTGAAACCACATTACACCATTTTCGGACCGCCACAACATTGTAAATTTCATTCTATATGGGACTTTGAGCTCATCTTTTAGATCATGAGAATAATAATTCAAGTCTGGCGACAATCACGGGATAGGCAGAGACATAGTCGTACGTCTCGTTCAAAAAGTGTTCTTATATAAATACTGAAAGAGTGTATTGATCTAACAGTGCAAAACTTAAGCTTAATTTAACGGGACTAAGTAATGTTAGAATAACGAGTTATTATTAATTCTGCTAGTTATGTTCAAACATAGATTTGACGGGCCTGTTGGTCTAGTGGTTAGTGACCCCAACTGCTAAACCGAAGGTAGTGGGTTTGACTCCCACCCAGGACAAATATTTTTGTAATGAGCGCGATCGTTTGATATGTGTATGGGTGCAATTTATCTATAATATATATTTATATAAAAATATAAGTATGTTTATCAGCAGTCTGGGCACCATAGCACAGGCTCTGCATAGTTTAGGATCAGACGGCCGTGTGTGAGATGTGCGAGGTTATTATGTGCTTTTATAACGAAACAATACATACAAAACAAAGTCTTTCATGTACATATAAAAGTACTTTTCTTCGGAATTACTAAAATCGAATTAAACAACAAAGGAAAAGATTATAAACTAAAAAAGATTAAACTTGGACATAACCAGGTAGCATATACTCGTAATTTAACTTTATTTAGCTTTGATCAATGATCATCATCATCAACAGCCTTTAATAGTCCACTGCTGGACATAGGCCTCTCCTTAGAAAGGAGGTTTTGGCCTACTATACCACACTGGCCAGACGGGCTGGTATAGGGTTTGTGTCAAGTTTTCCTTCTCTCTACAGTGCTGTTGTTCTGCGTAGTTTTTTCCCTTAGTCGGCTCTTACGACACCCACGGGATGAATAGGGGTGGTGACACTCTGTATTCTTAATCCATCACCGTCTTAATCATCCGGACCGGTGATCAATGATATATAACTATAATCCGAAAAAGTTATGATTCTTTAAGAGACCTAAAATAATAATTTAGGAACCCCTGCATGAGGTCAAGTAAGGAAAATGTTACACTTACATTCCGTTTTCACCTTTGCAACTTCGTTTTACATTTCAGAAGTTCGGTTTTGTCAGCTAAGTTAACTACCTAAAAATTTTCTCCATTTTTTTATTAATTTCAAATTCAAATTAAATTCAAATAAACGTTTGTATGTACAAACGTAAATGAATAAAAAATAACTATAAATAATGTAACATTACTTATTAATTTTCCACTTCTTTAAGAAAGTATATTTTTTTCTGACTAATAGGAGTAAATATATACACAAAGAAATCGTAACAACTTTGACTTTAAGCGAAATTAAATAAAAAGCAGATTCAGTGACCTTTTAGCGTACCGATCATATAAATCACAATAATACAAACCCATCAATGTAACTCGTTTAATAAACAACCGGTAATAAACATTTCGCTTTTTGTCTCAACTTTCTACGTCACAGATGAACTATTAGACTTACTCGCAACACAGTGTCGAACGCTCTGCTAAGAACTACTATATTACGTTTGGAAAAAAAAACACGCAAGCTTTCCGCCAATATCACTGTTTTTCAAGACTTAGCTGCCATTAATTATGTAAATATGGATTACTTAACGGTCGCACACGTCGTAAAAACGTCACCATTTAGTATAAATGGGCATTTTCTAATAAAAACTTTATAGAGTCGGACCTAGGTGTGGTCCCTGGTGAACTTCGCGTGTTCAATAGATAGATTTACAACTATCGTGGTAGTTATTACCCTTTATATGTGGCATTTCTCTTATATTTCTTACCCACTAACTGATTTTAGTCATCCTTTAATTGTGACGATTGTAACTGAGGAAAGGGAATACACATCTTATTTATTTGGGTAGTAAAGTAACACTCATGAATGCTTTTGATTCTATTTGTAATGATATCCGTAGAGCCAGAGACAGTAAAATATAAGCTGGCAATAAAACTGATGGCCATTTTTTTTAAAATCTTATATAGAAGGAGGAGGTACCGCATGTATTATATGAATAACTGCAAATTTCTAATAGTGACTACTTTTAAAGAAGCGTAAAGACAAAACTTAGTTACATTGTATGGGACATGTTTGAGAAAGAAATGTGAGGAACTTCTATGCAAGTCAAAAGCAAATAAAAGAAATATTAACAAAGGAAATAGTTTCAAAAAACCAAAGCTGAGACACTTCAACACACTTCAAAATACTTTGCATTTTCCATTTTGAACCTTTCTTTTCACAAGATTTCATGCTCGCAGCTCTAATGAGCGCAAGAAACGGGTTTAGAAATTGTACTCAATACAATACCAAGAGAGATTTTGTCTTCTACACCTACCCTAACATATTGAGAAGGTTTTTTTCTAACCAGATACCCTCATCACAGTCACATGATATTTTACTTTAGATTTGGTAATAATGTAAGTCATACATTTTTAGGCTATTGGTATAGTGGTAAGTGACCCTGCTAAGGCGGAGGTTGTGAGTTCGATTGCCACCCAGGACAAATAATTTTGTAATGTGCACGATAATTTGTTCTGTGGTGTAATATATCCATAATATAATATGTATGTATTTAGAATTTTTAGATTTTTTTGTAGAATTTACAAGCATTCTTCTGTCTAGTCTGGGATCAGATTACCGTGTATTAGATGTGTTAAGTTGCTAATGTTCGTATTACTCCTTGAACAGAATAAAAATAATGGTATTTAAAGTAAAGTCAATACCTAATTCATTACATGGATTTGAACCCATGTTCTTTTTCAAACGCTTTGTTAAGGCTAACATTTCACTTCTAACCAACATTCTTTCAACATCAATTTAAAAAGACAGTACGCAAGGATGTGGTCATTACGTCCGCGATACATCGATACAATTTCGATACGATCGAATAGTTAAAAAAACGACTGTAATTAACTGTTAGCAACAGACGCCACATGTCATTCTAAACAAAAGCTCTATACATGAGAAACTAATTACTGAAGTATGAGAAAAAGAGATAGAACGATACGACGCACGTAAGTGTGAGCGAGAAGTCAGTAATACGAAGATCGGAAGCAGATTGGAACGCACCACTGCGCACTGTCCGAATATGTTTTTTACTAATTAAAAATGCAGGCGGCGGTTTGATAAATGGTATCCCGGTCGATTTATTTAGCTTTTGTGTTTTTGAGGTTATGTGCGTGTGCGCAGGTCGTAATGAAATTGTTCAATAGCTACTGATCGGGAACTCGATGTTTTAGTGAAATGTGTTGAATTGTATTAAAGTTTGTTGTGTTCAGTTAAATTTAGCAGTTAAATTTCTGGTATTCGTCTTTATAAAATACTTTAAACGACTTTGATAATAATAATAATAAATAAATTTATTTCAGACATTATTCCATAAATGTGTTTGTAACGATCATTTTACAGCTATGTTAGTTCTACATTAAAACAAAAACAAATTACAACATAAATCGTGGGGATGCGCTAGCATGCAGACGCATCCTCCTTTGTAGGACTGGAAGGTCCTACCTCTCGGACAATACTCTCAGGATCACATTGGTGCTGCCTAGCAGTCGATTGGACATTGACGATTGGACTTTACTAAGGTTTAGAAGTTGGAGAAGTTTCTCGAACCACTACACTCTTAACAATCCAATATTAATAGGAAACGCAGTCACGATAATTTATCTGACATTTCCTGCACCAGATGTCTAAGCAGTCGTCTGATAATTGTCCAGTAGGTAATCTATAAGAGATAATAAAAATTAATTTGAAAATAAGGTTTCCTAAAATCTTCAATGGCTGGCAACGCGTTTGTGACTGCTGAGTTGCAGGCGTTCATGGACAGCGGTAGTGACCCGTCTGCTCGTTTGTCCCCTATTCCATAAAAAAATAAAAATAACAATAAAGATAGAGTATGTTTATCTATCGAATATGTAAATCTATTAAGTACCCATAGTTTTATTCATAACAGCAATCTCACTTAAGAATAAAACGTTATCATTCAAATTTTGGATCTGTCAATTTCAAAATAAGATTTACGTAAAAAATTTAGCGCTACACATTATTGCCGTGGTCTATAGTTCTTTTTTTATATCAGAGGGGCCAGACGAGCAGACGGGTCACCTGAAGGAAAGTGACCACCGCCGCCCATGAACGTCTGCAACTCAGGAGTCACAAATAACAATAATAATGCGATCATAGCTTTTTGAAACACGCACTATAATCTGTAACAACCTGTATAGGATCAAGTTGTTTTTAACACTCGAAAAAAAACTTTTCTAATGCTTTCGTTAAAGCTAAGAAAAGACTCATATTTATCATATATTTTAATAATACTGATGACACGTACGTCACGGTTTGGACGTAATCGGGTAATCTCTGGAACGGCTGGACCGATTTCGACGGGACTTTCACTGGCAGATAGCTGATGACATAAGGAGTAACTTAGGCTACTTTTTTTAGACTAGCTTCGCCCCGCGGCGTTACCCGCGGTTATAACAACAAACGCGTCTAACACCGCGGGTCTCAGCTAGTAATCTATATACCCGTAGGTGCAACCGTCAAGTTAAATCCCCATTCGCGTCCCCGCTTACCGCATTACGCTTCCCAAAATGATATATTCATAGAATAAGTGCGTTTAAACGTAAACCATAAATCCACATCGTATCTTATACAAAAATAAACACTAAATCACAATCATGCAAATAAGCCTTCAAAATTCAAATGGCGGCAATAAAATCGGTCTGGCACAAAAGCGGAGGAGCATCACCAACAATATGGGCTTTGGAATACCACTTACGCGCCGATAGCTAAACAC